AAGATCATGTATTAAATCAATGCAAAGAACCTAAGAACCTTGAAAAAAGATTTGAAAAAAGATTCGAGGAAATGATAACAAGAATGGATACCTTAGAGAGGAATATGAATGAATTAAAGGAGCTGAAAAACACAATACGAGAACTTCGCGAAGCAAACGCAAGTTTCAATAGCCGAATTGACCAAGCAGAAGAAAGAATATCTGAAGTCGAAGACCAACTCAATGAAATAAAACGAGAAACCAAGATCAGAGAAAAAAGCGCAAAAAGGAATGAACAAAGTCTCCAAGAAATGTGGGACTACGTGAAAAGACCTAACCTACGTTTGATAGGTGTACCAGAAGGGGACGAAGAGAATGAATCCCAGCTGGAAAATACTCTTCAGGACATCATCCAGGAAAATTTCCCCCACCTAGCAAGACAAGCCAACACTCAATTGCAGGAAATACAGAGAACACCACAAAGATATTCCGCAAGAAGAGCAACCCCAAGGCACATAATCATCAGATTCAACAGGGTTGAAATAAAGGAGAGAATACTAAGGGCAGCCAGAGAGAAAGGTCAGGTCACCCACAAAGGGAAGCCCATCAGACTCACAGCAGATCTCTCGGCAGAAACACCACAAGCCAGAAGAGAGTGGGGGCCAATATTCAACATTCTTAAAGAAAAGAACTTTCAACCCAGAATTTCATATCCAGCCAAACTGAGCTTCAGAAGTGAAGGAAGAATAAAATCCTTTGCGAACAAGCAAGTACTCAGAGATTTTGTCACCACCAGGCCTGCTTTACAAGAGCTCCTAAAAGAGGCAATACACATAGAAAGGATCAATCAGTACCAGCCATTCCAAAATCACACTGAATGCTAAAGAGCTTCAACATAATGAAGAATCTACAACAACTAACAGGCAAAACAGCCACTTAGAATCAAAATGGCAGTATCAAATTCACACATAACAATATTAACCCTAAATGTAAATGGACTAAATGCACCAATCAAAAGACACAGACTGGCAAATTGGATAAAAAGCCAAAACCCATCAGTGTGCTGTATCCAGGAAACCCATCTCACATGCAAGGATACACAAAGGCTCAAAATAAAGGGATGGAGGAAGATTTACCAAGCTAATGGAAAGCAAAAAAAAGCAGGAGTTGCAATTCTCATCTCTGATAAAATAGACTTTAAAGCAACAAAGATCAAAAGAGACAAAGAAGGCCATTACATAATGGTAAAAGGATCGATACAACAAGAAGAGCTAACGATCCTAAACATATATGGACCCAACACAGGAGCACCCAGATACATAAGGCAAGTTCTTAATGACTTACAGAAGGACTTAGACTCCCACACAATAATAGTGGGAGACTTTAACACTCCACTGTCAATACTAGACAGATCAACCAGACAGAAAATCAACAAGGATACCCAGGGCTTGAACTCAGACCTGGAGCAAGCAAACCTGGTGGACATTTACAGAACTCTCCACCCCAAATCCACAGAATACACATTCTTCTCAGCACCACATCACACCTACTCTAAAATTGACCACATAATTGGAAGTAAAGCACTGCTCAACAAATGCAAAACAACTGAAATCATAACAAACAGCCTCTCAGACCATAGTGCAATCAAGTTAGAACTCAGAATTCAGAAACCGACCCAGAACCGCACAGCTTCATGGAAACTGAACAACTGGCTCTTGAATGTTGACTGGGTAAACAACGAAATGAAGGCAGAAATAAAGAAGTTCTTCGAAACCAATGAGAATGAAGACACAACGTGCCAGAACCTCTGGGACACATTTAAAGCAGTCTCTAGAGGAAAGTATATAGCAATAAGTGCCCATATGAGGAGAATGGAGAGATCCAAAATTGACACCCTATCGTCAAAATTGAAAGAGCTAGAGGAGCAAGATCAAAAAAACTCAAAACCCAGCAGAAGACAAGAAATTACTAAGATCAGAGCTGAGCTGAAGGAGATTGAGACACGAAAAACCCTTCAAAAAATCAATAAATCCAAGAGCTGGTTTTTTGAAAAGATCAACAAAATAGACAGACCACTAGCCAGATTGATTAAAAATAAAAGAGAGAACAACCAAATAGATGCAATAAAGAATGATAAAGGGGAAATCACCACAGATTCCACAGAAATTCAAACCATCATCAGAGAATATTACAAACAACTATATGCGCATAAACTAGTAAACCTGGAAGAAATGGATAAATTCCTGGACTCCTGTGTCCTCCCAAGCCTAAACCAGGAGGAAGCTGAAACTATGAATAGACCAATAACAAGGTCTGAAGTTGAGGCAGCAATTAAGAGCCTACCTCACAAAAAAAGCCCAGGTCCAGATGGGTTCACAGCCGAATTCTACCAGACACACAAGGAGGAGCTGGTACCATTCCTTCTAAAACTATTTCAAACAATCCAAAAAGAAGGAATCCTTCCCAAATCATTTTATGAGACCAACATCATCCTGATACCAAAACCCGGCAGAGACCCAACGAGAAAAGAAAACTTCAGGCCAATATCCATGATGAACATAGATGCAAAAATCTTCAATAAAATATTGGCAAGCCGATTGCAACAGCAAATCAAAAAACTTATTCATCATGATCAAGTAGGATTCATCCCAGGGATGCAAGGCTGGTTCAACATACGCAAGTCTATCAACGTAATTCACCACATAAACAGAACCAAAAACAAAAACCACATGATTATCTCAATTGACGCAGAGAAGGCATTTGACAAAATTCAACAGCCCTTTATGCTAAAAACCCTCAATAAACTCGGTATCGATGGAACGTATCTCAAAGTAATAAAAGCTATTTATGACAAACCAACAGCCAATATCATACTGAATGGGCAAAAACTGGAAGCATTCCCTTTGAAATCTGGTACTAGACAAGGATGCTCTCTCTCACCACTCCTATTCAATATAGTACTGGAAGTTCTAGCCAGAGCAATCAGGCAAGAAAAAGAAATAAAGGGTATTCAAATAGGAAAGGTGGAAGCCAAATTGTCTCTATTTGCAGACGACATGATAGTATACCTAGAAGACCCCATCGCCTCAGCCCAAAAACTCCTGAAACTGATAAACAACTTCAGCAAAGTCTCAGGATATAAAATCAATGTGCAAAAATCACAAGCATTCGTCTACACCAATAACAGACTTAAAGAAAGCCAAATCAAGAGCGAACTGCCATTCGCAATTGCTACAAAAAGAATAAAATACCTTGGAATACAACTCACAAGGAACGTAAGGGACCTCTTCAAGGAGAACTACAAACCACTGCTCAACGAAATCAGAGAGGACACAAACAGATGGAGAAACATTCCATGTTCATGGTTAGGAAGAATTAATATTGTGAAAATGGCTATACTGCCCAAAGTAATTTACAGAATCAACGCTATCCCCATCAAGCTACCATTGACTTTCTTCATAGAACTGGAAAAAACCACCATGAACTTCATATGGAACCAAAAGAGAGCCCGCATAGCCAAGTCAATTCTAAGCAAAAAGAACACAGCGGGGGGCATCACACTACCGGATTTCAAACTATACTACAAGGCTACAGTAATCAAAACAGCATGGTACTGGTACCAAAACAGAGATATAGACCAATGGAACAAAACAGAGGCACCGGAGGCAACACAACATACATACAACTATACAATCTTTGATAAACCTGACAAAAACAAGCAATGGGGCAAGGATTCCATGTTTAACAAATGGTGTTGGGAAAACTGGCTAGCCATGTGCAGAAAGCAGAAACTGGACCCCTTCCTGACACCTTACACTAAAATTAACTCCAGATGGATTAAAGACTTAAACATAAGACCTGGCACCATAAAAACCCTAGAAGGAAATCTAGGCAAAACTATCCAGGAGGAGTAGGCAAGGACTTCATGAACAAAACACCAAGAGCATTGGCAACAAAAGCCAAAATAGACAAATGGGACCTAATGAAACTCCAGAGCTTCTGCACGGCAAAAGAAACAGTCACTAGAGTGGATCGGCAACCAACAGAATGGGAAAAAATTTTCGCAGTCTACCCATCTGACAAAGGGCTGATATCCAGAATTTACAAACAACTCAAGCAGATTTACAGGAAAAAAACAAACAAGCCCATTCAAAAGTGGGCAAAGGATATGAACAGATACTTTACAAAAGAAGACATATATGAAGCATATGAAAAAATGCTCATCGTCACTGGTCATCAGAGAGATGCAAATCAAAACCACATTGAGATACCATCTCACACCAGTTAGAATGGCGATCATTAAAAAATCTGGAGACAACAGATGCTGGAGAGGATGTGGAGAAAAAGGAACACTTTTACACTGTTGGTGGGAGTGTAAATTAGTTCAACCATTGTGGAAGACAGTGTGGCGATTCCTCAAGGCCTTAGAAATAGAAATTCCATTTGACCCAGCAATCCCATTACTGGGTATATATCCAAAAGACTATAAATCGTTCTACTATAAGGACACATGTACACGAATGTTCATTGCAGCACTGTTTACAATAGCAAAGACCTGGAATCAACCCAAATGCCCATTGATAATAGACTGGATTGGAAAAATGTGGCACATATACACCATGGAGTATTATGCAGCAATCAGAAATGATGAGTTTGTGTCGTTTGTAGGGACATGGATGAATCTGGAAAACATCATCCTCAGCAAACTGACACAAGAACAGAAAATGAAACACTGCATATTCTCACTCATAGGCGGGTGATGAAAAATGAGAACACATGGACACAGAAAGGGGAGTAATAAACACTGGGGTCTATTGGGGGGAAAAGGGGAGGGCCAGTGGGAGGGGGAGGTGGGGAGGGATAGCCTGGGGAGAAATGCCAAATGTGGGTGAAGGGGAGAAGAAAAGCAAAGCACACTGCCATGTGTGTACCTACGCAACTGTCTTGCATGCTCTGCTCATGTACCCCAAAACCTATAATCCAATAAAAAATTAAAAAAAAAAAAAAAATTATTTACTCACCAAGTAGACATTGTTTGCAGACTGCAGTGAATAATACAAATGGACGATGAATGGGCTTTTGCTTAGTGCCAGTGCATCTCTCTCAGCTTGTACCTGATGAGTCATATTTTTGTTGATCAGGTCTGCTTTTTTAACAACCTGTAATAGATAAAATAAAATAAATGTGATATCATGTTATTTTATTTTGAGACAGAGTTTCACTGTGTCACCCAGGCTGAGTGCAGCCTTGATTCCCCGGGCTCAAACAATCCTCCTGCCTTAGCCTCCCAAGTAGCTGGGACTATCAGTGAACACCAGTACATCTGGCTAATTTTTTTTTTGGGACAAGGTCTCACCATGTTGCCCAGGCTGGCCTAAAATGAGTCTCAAGCAATACTCCTGTCTTGGCCTCCCAAAGTGCTGGGATTACAGGTGTGAGCCACAGTTCCCTGCCTCTTTTTTTCAGTTACAGAATGATCTTAGGTTTCAAAGTTGCCATCATGAAAATGGTAACATAGAGAGCACATAAAGATGTCATGTGGACCTTACACTGCTATCAGGAAACCGTGTACAAAAAAAGTAGTTAAGATTAAAAAAAAAAAAATCTTCAAGATAGAATTTCTTATCTTGGCATTCAATGGCAGAAGACAGTCTCTTTTGAGAAGGAAAAAAAAATTAAACAAATGCTCCCTGACTGCTCTGCATGTTAATAGAAAAAATTTCTGTTCCACTGTTCTGATAACAAAGTCAAAAGACTCTTACATTCCTCATAAGCCCGCAGATAACTAGGAACCTGGGCATGGAGTAACTATTTAATTTTTTATTTTTAACTTCTGATTATTTGATAGACAGGAACAGAATCAAAAAGAAAAATAATGTTGAAAGTTTGCCTAGAAAAAAAACTTAAGCTACAATGATTAGAACTACTGAAACCTAACACTAATAACAAAATAGAAATAAAACTAATAATAAATAAAAATAATGTTGGAACACTAAACTAAATAGTAACACTGGGATCAATTCTCAGGAGTGCTATAAGAAAAATAGGCACATTTCTTTATATACATATATATATATTTTTTAAAAAGACAAGGTTTCACCATGTTTGTCAGGCTGGTCTTGAACTCTCGACCTCAGGTGATCCTCCCACCTTGGCCTCCAAAGTACTTGGATTACAGGCATGAGCCACCATGCCCAACCAGGCATATTTCTTTCAATGATTTATTAGAGCACTTAATAAAATCATTACTACATGGTAAATTCCTGCCTTAACTCCTTTCTTTAAGGAAGCCAAGGGAAATTGAAAAAGCAAGCCAGTAACATGATTTTTCCTATCATTCTACTGGCTATGAGGACATGATTGTTTTCTTCCCCATTGCTCTCCAGTTCCTAGGCACAAAGAGCGTGGGTGCTAAGCAAATACTGATAGAACCAATGGATAGCTGTTTTCATTACAACAACTGATCATGATTAAGTACTGTAGAAGGAAAAGCAAAACTCTCAGGAACATATAAAATAACCAATTCAATGAGATGGGTCTGACAGATCAGGGAAGGTTTGAAGGGGAGCTAAGATGAATCTTAATACATGAATCAAACAGGTGGAGGCTGGGCATGTTGGCTCACGCCTGTAATCCTAGCACTTTGGGAGGCCAAGGTGGGCAGATCACGAGGTCCGGAGTTCGAGACCAGCCTGACAAACATGGCGAAACCCTGACTCTACTAAAAATACAAACATTAGCCAGGCATGGTGGCATGCACGTGTAATCTCAGCTGCTTGGCAGGCTGAGGCAAGAGAATGTCTTGAATATGGGAGGCGGAGATTGCAGTGAGCTGAGATCTGCTACTGCACTCCAGCCTTGGTGACAGAGCAAGACTCCATCTCACACACACACAAAAAAATAGGTGAAGGGCGGAAAAGGGTGGAAGAAAAGCACTTAAGAAGGAACCAGCATAAACATAAGCACAGAAGCAAGAAAATGCACAGCATTGAGGGACTAGCCAATTGTCTGCCGCAGCTAAAAGACAGGGTATGAGGATGATACAGTGGAAATACAGAACCAAAACTATGGACATGACTGCTTTTCTAAGGAGTTTGAACTCCTTTGAATGTGTAAAGAATAAGTTTACGTGTAAAGAATGAATGAAAAAACAAAGATAATGATTCTAGTTAGGAGGCTCTTCCAACAGACTACATATGGAAATAAAGCATGATAAACCTCAGAAACATCATGACAAATGAAAAAAACCAGATGCAGAAGATCACTTATTGTATGATTCCATTTATATGAAAGGTCTGGAAATGGGAAACCTATAAAGATATAAAGTAGATTAGTAGTTATCTGGGGCTAGGGGTATTAATGGGGTAGACACTGTAAACGAGCAGAAGAGGTCGTCCAACAATGGAAATATTCTAAAATTGGACTGTGGTGATGGTTAGACAACTATTTAATTTACTAAAGCCACTGAATTGTACCTTTTTTTTTTTTTCCAAGATAGAGCATCGCCCTGTCTCCCAGGCTAGAGTACAGTGGCGTGATCTCGACTCACTGCAAACTCCACCTCCAGAGTTCAAGCCATTCTCCTACCTCAGACTTCTGAATAGCTGAGAATACAAGTACACTCCACCATCCAGCTAATTTTTCTATTTTTAGTAGATACGGGGTTTCGCCATGTTGGCCAGGCTGGTCTTGAACTCCTGACCTCAGATAATCAGCCCACTCCGGCCTCCCAAAGTGCAGGATTACAGGCTACACAAGTGAGCCACTCTGCCTGGCCTTTTTAAAATGTAATTTAATTTAACTTAATTTTTTTGAGACGGAGTCCTGCTCTGTCACCCAGGCTGTAATATACTGGTGCAATCTCAGCTCACTGCAACCTCTGCCTCCCGGGTTCAAGTGATTCTCTTGCCTCAACCTCCTGACTAGCTGGGATTACAGGGAGGCACCACCACACCTGGCTAATTTTTGTATTTTTAGTAGAGATGGGATTTCACCATGTTGGCCTGGCTGGTCTCGAACTCCTGACCTCAGGTGATCCACTCACCTTGGCCTCCCAAAGTGCTGGGATTACAGGGATTAGCCACTGTACCCGGCCAGTACCTTTATAAGTAAACAAATAGGGGGAAAAGTGAAAGCCTGTACTTGGACAGGGACTTGGGGATGGAAATACAACTATTTAACTTACTAAAGAATTAAAAAGGTTAAAAAGAATGACTAAAGGAGATGAAAGTTGACAGGAACACTGAGAGATATATAGAAATGAAATAAAGTTAAAATGTGGTGAAACCACGTCTCTACTAAAAAAAAACACAAAAATCAGCCGGGCGTGGTGGAGCGCGCCTGTAATACAAGATATTTGGGAGCCTGAGACAGGAGAATCGCTTGAACCCAGGAGGCAGAGGTTCCAGGAAGCCAAGAAGGTGCCACTGCACTTTAGTCTGGGCGACAGAGCAACACTCCGTCTTAAAAAAGAATTATTAAAGACATCAGAAAATAGCTCATCTTCCTCCTGGTTAAGAGTTAAACTTAAAAAGACATCAGTGCCTACAAACTTACCACTCTTCTATGGTAGAAAAATTTCGGCGATTCTGCACGTCAAAGCAAACAAACAAGGTAAACAAAACCACGAATTACTAAAAACCTTTGGATTTAGAAACCTGGCTCAAGTCTGGTTGAGACTACGAATCAGGGCGTTGGATTTAAGTTCATGTTGAACTAAGGCCGATGTAATCACCTCGGTCAAGTCCGTTTGCCTTTGGCCTCAGTTTCCTCATTTGCTAACGCTGAGCAGGGAGAAGGGGTCAAAGTCAAACTTTGCTGTTCTCACTGGGCATCCAAGATATGGAGGGAAGGGCAGAGCAGAGGCGAGATACCCGACCCGACCGCTGATGTCGTCCCCAAAAGAAGTCGGCTCGCAGGGCTCTGCAGGCTTCAGCAAGTCGGGCCACCCAGACTCCCCGATCCAGCAGCCCCGGGGCCTGCCCACGACGAGAGGGCAGGAAGGAGGGCCGAAGGGCCTGACCCCTTCCTTTGCTCCTCCTTGACTTCCTACCTTTACTGCATACAATTTGCCGCCTTTCTGCCCCAGATACACTTTCCCGAAGGCGCCCCGGCTAATGGGCTTCACTATTTTGAATTCCTCAATGGAGGGCGGTCTTGGCACCGGGATCCTATTCACCCCATCCTCGGTAGCCGCGCCTCCTCCAGCATCCTTCTCGCTCCCTGCGGTGGGCTCCATCGCTGGACAGCCTACAGCGAACCCGCAGCCACCGCCTCTCTGCCAGCAGCCACTCCCGCCAACTGGGTTCAAAGTGAGGCTCCGCCCACGCCGCGCAGCCGTGACGTCACCTCCCCTCAACAGAGGCGGCAGTGCTTGGAAACCGGGAAAGCCCCGACTCCACAGCATTACACTCTTAGTGGGCGGTGACCGCGGCCCCACTGACATCATTCGTCATCAGGGAGGAGGCACAAACAGTTCTCGACCGACCAGAAACGAGACGACTGGGACTGGACTCTAAAGCGCAGGATTGGAAGAGATTTCTCCCGGCCTCCTAGCGAGGCTGGTGGGAAGCGGTCCTTCTCCCAGACACGATCTCCCACCCGCTAGAGGCATAGAAATCAGTTCGGACTCTTCAGTATAGCGACGGCCAGGGATGAAGTCTGGAAGCTACTGAAGGCACAGAATGTGGAGAAACTGGATGGGCAGGAAGCGGGTGGCCGCTCCTATCATCTGACGTTTTCTCAGGATGTAATTTCCTTGACTGAAACAGATCAGAACCAACAGGGAGAATTTTCGATTTAGTGTGAGGGAAAGAGCACTAAATTGTAGGAAAAGACCTTATTGCTCAAGACCTAGTCAGAAGATTTCATAAGGAAAGTACAGAAAGTCTGAAGAGGAAATTAGCCGGGCGTGGTGGTGGGCACCTGTAGTCCCAGCTACTCGGGAGGTTGAGGCAGGAGAATTGCTTGAACCCGGTAGGCTGAGGTTGCAGTGAGCCGAGATCGCACCACTGCACTCCAGCCTGGCGCCGGGCGACAAAGCGACACTTTGTCTAAAAAAACAAAAATAGCTAAAGACCTTTGGGGACTTGTAAATATGTTTACAAGTAATGTTCCTAGTAAATATCACCTACATTGGGGCTGCCAAGAACGCGTAGGCACTCGGCTGAGAGGGCGCCCACTTGCCCCGGAAGTACTGTTGCATTAGCGCCTCGTCTTCCGGGGCGGATTGTCTGTAGTTGCAGTAGCTGTAGGAAGGGGAGGCCATTTTCCGTTTCTGGGAGGAGTGAGGGGCAACGAGGGGGAGAAAAAGGAAAAAAGAAGGGCTCAGCGCCTCCCCGCCAGGCCAGGAACAGAGGGGCAGTTTCGGCAGGCGGGTGAGGTCGCTGAGGGCCCGCAGGAGATGTTTTCCTTGTCGAACACGGTTCAACCCCAGGTGAGCCCGGCTTTCAGTCCTTTTTTTTTTTCCCCTTTCGACCTGCCAGCAGTTGTTTGCGTATTGCGTTTGTGGGAGCGATTTCTCTAAAAGGACTCTAGGAGGGAAGCGATTAACTCATCGCTAGTCCCATGATTGTGGAGTGGATCAGCAGACAACGCTGAGAGGGCTCGAGACTTCAGGGTTGAGGATGAAGCTGTTGGGGACAGAGGAGGGATGTGAGCGTGATGGAGAGAGACAGAGAGAGAGAGACCCTGGCTTATCGAACTGATTGAGTGGAATTTTTGCTAGAGAATCCGTCCGGCTTTGTTCAATGTCCGGCGTTCGGGCGTGGGGACTGGGGAAATGTCTCCACCGTAGGTGTAAAGGGAACGGCTAATGTTCCCTTTTCTTTTGACTTTCCACTGGCTTTAGTGTTCACAACCCTGATTTCTGCTCTTTCTTTCCTTTTAAATGGAATTTAAATTTAACCCAAACATGGTATAATAATTTGAATGGCAAGTCATGCATTTTTTTTTTTTTGCTCTTTTTACAGAAATAACTAAGGTATGTATTTCTGAGCCTCATCCTTACTGTTTTGTGAAAACAAAAGGTAGTGAAGAGAAACATGATTTCAAGGGTTTTCGTTACACCTTTTTGGGTAATCATTTGTGACAATGTTTTATTCTTGCTTCATTCCAATCTCTTTTTTTTTTTGTGATAGATCTTTTTTTAATTAAATTTTGTTTTTTTTAAAGACTGGGTTTCACCGTGTTGGTCAGGCTGGTCTTGAACTCCCGACCTCAGGTGATCTGCCTCCAAAGTGCTTGGATTACAGGCGTGAGCCACCACGCCCGCCTGTGATAGATTTTTTTTTTTTTTTGAGAATTCTTACAGTTTTGCAAAGAAGTAGTTGTTCAAAAATTATTTTTAAGAAAATAAACGCTGGTGGTTTAGACATATGATTGTGTTACTTTGTGTAACTTTTACTTCCTCTCATTTTAAGAATTTTTAATTTTTTGGTGCTAGTACTGGCTAACAAATTGAAGCAGTTGCTTGTTTATTGGGCATCAGTTATGTACCAGGTGAGCAAAGCAAATGTGGAATCTTCTCTTAATATTGATAGGAAGTAAATATGGGTAGGACTTAGCCAGGTGAAGAGTGAACAGATATCGCACGCTTAAGTCTAGTGTGGCTGTTTAGACGAAAGAGGTTAGAGAAAAGACTTTAGGCAGATCATACAGGGAGTTAAGGATATGTTATGGGTGGTTTCATTTCAGTGGTGGAGGGAACCATTGAAAGTTTTAAAACATTAGATTTTCATTTTTAAAAGACTCTGGCTTTTTGCCATATGGAGAATAGGAGAGGGTAAGAATGGAAGTGTTATCAGCTGAAGATACCCCCCTATTAAGACGGTTGCAATGGTTATGGAAGGAAGAGAATGAGATATATTTTGAGGAAAGTAGAATTGCATGAGGGATCAGATATGAGAGATGATGGAGAGAGGTGTTTCTGGATTTGAGCAGATGGATGCATTGAAGATGTTATTTACCAAGATGACAGTGTCTGGAGGAGTCCTAGCAATTGTTTGATAAAGAAGTCTGACATGGCCTATTGAATATCGTTAAAGTTTTTGAAACTGAACTCTTTTTTTTTAGTTCACATTAAGAGGCCTGATTTTAGGACAATTACCCATCAACTGGATGGAGAGTTAGTAGTATGTGATGTTGGTAGAGATGATAAAGGATTTTTAAGTACTATAGGCAGTCTTAACAGGGTTCAGATATGGTGGGAACTCAGGCATTTCTTGCTTTGAAAGATGGTCAACACATTTGGAATTCCTGGTTGATCAATTGGTTGAATACACTTGAAATTAAATGATAAAAGGAAGACACAGAAAATGAACTTTTTCTTTTTTTGAGGTAGAGTCTTGCTCTGTCGCCCAGGCTGGAGTGCAGTGGTGTGATCTCGGCTCACTGCAACCTTCACCTCCTGGGTTCTAGCAATTCTCCTGCCTCAGCCTCTGGAGTAGTGGGATTACAGGCATGTGCCAGCATGCCCAGCTAATTTTTGTATTTTTAGTAGAGACAGAGTTTCACTATGTTGGCCAGGCTGGTCTAGAACTCTTGACCCCAGGTGATCCGCCTGCCTAAACCTCCCAAAGTCCTGGGATTACAGGCATGAGCCACCTCTCTGGCCCAACAAATGTTTTTGTTGAGAAGAGCTCAATTCTAAATCCTTTGTGAATGAAAAGAGATAAAACTAATTCAAATAAACCTTTTCAAATAAATAGGAAAATCTGTATCTTGAAATGATTTGATTATTTTTAAAGTTTCAAAAGAAGTTACTGTTTATTTTCTTTTTACTGCCCCCAGGCTGTAAGGAACTTACTGTTTCTTTCTGACTTTAAAAATGATACATTGCTTCACTTGAGTAGCCTTAAAATAAATCCATGTTTTTTGCTAAAAATATAAATCACCCACAATAATCTCATTACTCAGGGATATGTATCTTAGAATAAATTCTTTCACACTTTCTTTTTTCTGTAGACAAGCGCAGGTATGCATACTTAAGGTAGTTTTACAGTCTGCTTTATTCATTAATATGTCACAAATTTGTGTATCCATGTCTATCCATGGGATGAGAAGTCTGAAATTTTGAGTCAGATTCTAAATCTTGTCTTCATCTATTAAATGGTCTGTGCTCCCACAACAGTGGCATTAGTCCATTGATGAGGGCAGAGCTCTCCTGAACTAAATGCCTCTTAAAGGTCCCACCTCTTAGCAGGATTACAGTGGCAACTAAATTTGCCATTCTTCTCAACTCAAACTTGAGTTTTGGAGGAGATAAACGTTGGAATTTTTACCGGAAGTGGGCGCGATCCAGACCCCAAGAGAGAGTTCTTGGGTCTTGAACAAGAATTCAAGAGAGTTTATAAAATGAAAGCAAGTTTATTAAGAAAGTAAAGGGAGTAAAGAACGGCCTCTCCACAGGCAGAGCAGCTGCTTGGGCTGCTCCACAAAGGATACTTACAGTTATTTCTTGATTGTATGCTAAACAGTGTGTGATTATTCATGAGTTTTTGGAGCAGAGAGAAGGAAGGGGAGCATAGTAAATAAATTCAGAGAGGTAATGAGGAGACAAACCATGGAAGGCTTTATAGGTCACGTTGTTAGGACTTTTTTTTTTTTTTTTTTTTTGAGACAGAGTTTTGCTCTTGTTACCCAGGCTGGAGTGCAACAGTGCATTCTCGGCTCATCGCAGCCTCCACCTCCTGGGTTCAAACGATTCTCCTGTCTCAACCTCCCAAGTAGCTGGGATTACAAGCATGTGCCACCATGCCTGGCTAATTTTTTTTGTATTTAGTAGAGACGGGGTTTCACTATGTTGGCCAGGATGGTCTCAATCTCTTGACCTCATGATCCACCCACCTCGGCCTCCCAAAGTTAGGACTTTCTTTGGTGTTTACTCTTGCTGGAGAACCGAAACCATCGGAGGGGCTTGAGCAGAGGAGTGATATGAACTGACTTGGCTTTTAATACGATCACTTTTATTCTCTTTTGGGAATACACTGCAGCTGGATAAGAGAAGAGCAGGGAGAGTATTTAGGAAACTATTGCAAAAAATCACACATCGATGATGGTGAATTAGCATATCATGGTGGCATTGGGGAAGTTGAGAAGTATAACATTCTGGATATCTACTTACTTTCTTTTTTGAGACGGAGTTTTCGCTCCTGGAGTGCAAGGGCGCAATCTTGGCTCAACACAACCTCCGCCTCCCAGGTTCAAGTGATTCTCCTGCCTCAGCCTCCCAAGGAGCTGGCATTACAGGTGCCGGCCACCAAGCCTGGCTAATCGTATTTTTAGTGGAGATGGGTTATACCCTGTTGGGCAGGCTGGTCTTGAACTCCTGACCTCAAGTGATCCGCCCACCTTGGCTTCCCAAAGTGCTGGGATTACAGGTGTGAGCCACTGCACCTGACCAGTGGTATTTTTTATTTTGCTGCTCCTCTAATGCTGGATGTTTTCATC